GTCCCCGACAAAACCTAGGAGTTTCGTTGGATTCAGAGCCGATTTATTTTGGTGGGCATTTGAGATTTCATCTCAAATAGAGGTAGGGAATGTTTTAGGATTTTATATGTGTTATATTGTGTATTTTCCATGTTTATACAACCTATATGCATGCCTTTTATCAAATCTAGGAAATTTGAAATATTTAATTCTTTGTATAAGATTTAATTTTCATAATGATGAGAAACTTGGTTTTGAATTGTGGCATGGTAGAAACTCTTGTTTTAATATGTTGGTTAACATATATTAATTTGGGATTAATTAAATAAGAATTGCTCTTTTTAATTAATATTTATCTTTTGTGAAAGATTTAAGTTCATGGCCATACCTTGCATGGAATTGAATGCTATTATGCTTCTACATTAAGTTTTAGCATGTTTGTTAACATACTTTAATTTGAGAGCATTTGGTTGAGTTTGGAAATCTAGAGACTTTAATTAAGGGAATTAATTAAAATCTATTTTTGTGGTTTCATGGGCCTAATTAAGCTTGCGTGTGAATATATGTAATGACCATGATTTGTTTATTAACATATATTAAATTGTGGCCAATTGGAAATGATTTGAAATCTAGAGAGTTTAATTATTTTGATGTAATTAAATTCTATCTTGTGTGTCCATGGATCTAATCATGTTTTGGAAGTTGTTTCTATTTTAAGAACATGGATTAAGGCTTGTGATTTATTCACTAGATTGTGTTATATGCATTGAAGAACATTGTTGTTAAATTTATATTCCTGAGAGTATGTTTCTATATGAATATATTGTTGGTTTGTGATTTCGTAGCATTATGGATATGAAATACTTATTATGCACAATTGAGAGTTATATTGCTAACTTGTTACTATGTAGTAGTAATGTGTATAAGTTGTTAACTTATTTATTTTGGAGTTGCTTGGGACATTGTTAAGCGGTGATGGCTAGGGTTTGGCTCTAGTACGGGGACAAGAGTCCTCTAAGTCAAAAGTTCACGCGTTGGGTAGGCTGCCTAGGGGTTAGTAGCTTCAAATTTGCCCTATAAAGTTCGCGCATTGGGTAGGTTGCCTGGGGGTTAGTAGCTCCAAATTTGCCTTATCTCGGCGGAAATCCGAGCTGTGATGTCCAAGTCTCCCACTAATTGTTTTCGCATTCAATTCCAAGTTGACAATCATGTTTACCGTGTTAACTTGTGGTTTTGGCTATCGGCGATTTTGATATTGTTAAGTACATCCATACTAAATTGCTATATTTAGTCGATTTCACACTTTTAGATTTCTAGTTGATAACCTAGAGAATCTATGTCTTGATGTGTGGTATTAGATATTCTAGTTATGCTAAATTGTTATATTTAGTTGATGTTACATTTTAGACTTCAAGTTGATTACCTTGAGAATCTATATGTTGTTGCTTTGTGTAAGTATGCTCCTATGTTGTTGCTTTGCATAAGCATGAACCTATGTTGCTAAAATTGCATGAATGAGGTGTTTAATGCTAGAAATGATCTTAGGTAGCTAGGTTACTCCTTGAGTCTCACATTTGACATAGACGTTAGATGGAATGAACCACAATGATTAAATCATACAACTTGTAAAACATAGGTCGATGCATGCTCATTTCCTATGAGTAGTTTTATGTTACTTATTCCTACGATACTGGGGCATATTTTAGGTACAAGAATCAAAGTTGAGGTTTTCATTATGCTTGGATGGTTTGTGGACTTGGAGACTTCCATTTTTGTGAAGGTTGGCTTGGAATGCCAATTATAGTCTTATATGTCAACATGTGTACATTTGATTCCTTATATGTAATGTGTACATGAGTACACTCTTTACAATGTATTTGACATGTATGAGATGAGGCCGGAGGCCAATGACATGTAATTTGTATCTTATGTAAATTTTGACTTCACGGAATATTATGAAAGTATTGTAAAATATTGAGTTTTTGCTTCACCATGTTTGCATTGGGTGTGGGAATTCCATTTTGATTCTTCCATTAGCACTCATTCACCATGTATGAAGTGTGGCCAAGGGCCAAACGGCATTTTGAAACCATCTCATGATTTTAAATTCCAAGTTTTCGTTTTAAACTTCGTTTTTGGCATTTTGGCCGTTGGGGGGGTCATATTTTGTACCGGCCATATTTTTGGGCCATGGACCATTGTAGCATGTCTTACTATGTAAGTTACGTTTGCGTGCATGGTCGTTTTCGGGCAAGGATTCTTCTTTGGTGAAATGAACCTCCTACGGACTCATTTTTTACTTTTGTTACATATTCTGACCTAAGGTTATTTCAGAATTTTCTTTGGGAATTAAATTCCGTTCTTCACATGGTTGATTAGAAAATATGATTTTAGGGGAGGTTTCTTTTTTGTGTTTTTCCAGAAAATGCCATCTTGGCATCGGAAATCGCATCCGAAGTTCAGCTCTCAGTTTTTAAATTTAGCAGCTTTTTGGACCCTCTAGACCAGTTTTCTTGGGAGGGCATTTTGGGCATTTCACATTGCATATTTTTCGATTTTCTTCAAGAATCATGTAGAAAACTCGATTTTGAGGGGGGTTTCTTCTTTGAGTTTTTCCAGAAAATGTCATCTAAGGTCTCAAATTTCCATTTTTTTTGGGAAAAACCCCTGCTGCCAAGTTTTTGGGTCGCACCCTTACTGCCCCTTCACATCTAAACGGTTATGAGGGGTTTTGTAACCGGTTAGATGAGTGTGGGCAGCGTTTTTTTTTACTGTTTTTGGCTTCCTAACCTGTTAGGAAGGTCTCCTAACCGGTTAGATGTTCATGGGTTGCCTCTTTTGGATCGTTTTGCCCATTCTTCTTCCGTTAGCCATATCTTCTTCATCCGGACTCTGAATCAAGTGATTTTTGAGTCTAAGTTCATTGATTTTTCGTTGTGTTTCCAATGGTGTTCTTAGTGGTATGCACTTTTAGGCTAAAAATGACAATTTTGCCCCTAGGTGTATTCTTGTCCGTTTTTGAAATGTTGTTTCCGTATTTGATTCCTTTGGGTCCCGTGACCTCGTTGAGGGTCACAATGGTGTCTTAGAGTCATGTTGTATCTCTAGAGACCATTGTTTATCTTTTGCTTCCGTATTTCAGATCCGTTATTGGATCATCTTTCGGTTCATCATTGACGCACCGGGTTGAAAAACTTGGGCCGTCACAAATCCGGGTCGTTACATGAATTCTATTTCTGTCTACACTTAGCCTCTAAGGAATGAAATATTCTTGCATATACCAGCTCTCTAGGACCACTGAGACATGTCACATTCTTGAGCATAGCTAGAAAAGGCCATACTGCCCTCAAAACAGATTTAACTCTACTCAACACAATGACAGAGCTGAGGCTGTATTCCTCACAATGCAGGTTCAATTTCAGTGCAATGCAGGTACCTAAGCATACGTATATATATCTAAAATACAACTAAGAAGAGACCATAGTACCCTTATGAGCACCTGTAGCTAAAACTGAAATGCTGAACCTTCACTATTCAAGGCTGAAGCATTGCAATGCTTTTTGACATTAAAAAGTCAAACATTCCTTAAGGTAACTTAGGACCAACAATCTCCCCCTTTTGCCTTTAATGATAAAAACCAAATGACCTTGAAATAACATTTAAAGATAAAGATTCAGTAAGTAGAACAACCCAAATGCAAAGGAATAGCTTGAAGCTATCCTTATTTTCAGTCCATTTCTACCCCTTTTTGGCATTGAAAGTCAAAAGATGAGTAGGAACAAGAATATAAGTTCAGGAGGGGGGAGGAATATTTCTGAGAAGAGCTCGAAGGGTTGAGAATCTCTAAGGAAGAAGAGGTGTGGTCATGATGTCTGCAAGTTGATCTTCAGTAGGAAAATAAGTAATATCAATAAGACCTTTTTGAACTTTATCTCTAAGAAAGTGATACCTGATGTCAATGTGTTTACTCTTCCAATGCAATGTGGGATTCTTACTAATAGCAATAACACTTTGATTATCACAGAAAAGCTTGGGAGGTCTTAAGAATTGAATGCCAAGATCTGAGAGAGTAGTTTTCATCCAAAGTAATTGTGAACCAGCTTGTGAGACAGTTATATATTCAGCTTCAGAGGTTGAAAGAGAGACAGTGTCCTATTTTTTACTCAGCCACGAGACCACATTTGAACCCAGAGTGTAGCAATAACCAGAGGTACTTTTCTGTCAGGTAAATATCCACCCCAATCAGCATCTGAGAAGGCTGCAATAGGCATTGAGGGTGAGTGAATGTAGAAAAGAGAAACCTTTGGATTACTTTGAAATCTGGCCACTAAACCCACTGAAGACTATCAGGCCTTAAAGCAGTAAGATACAGTAAACTACCAATGAATGATCTGTAAAGTGTTAAAGGAACAGCTTCAGCGGTGCACTCCAGGGAGAGTTTGGTATTAGGACATAGTGGTGTTGAGACAGCCTTACAATCATCCATTTTGATCTTTGTAAGTAGCTCCGAGGCATACTTTTGCTAAGAGATGAAGATTCCAGAGGATGTTTGTGTAATTTACAGACCTAGAAAGTATTTGAGAGTCCCCAAGAATGATATTTCAAACCTTATCTTCATGAGATTAGCAAATTATAAAGCTAATGAGGTGTCTGAGCCACAAAACATGATATCATCAACATCGATTTGCAGAATTAGAAACTGTTCGTGACGAGTTTTGACATAAACAGTATTATCAACCTTGCCTCTATGAAATCCTTGTTCAACTGATAATTGATGCAGCTTCTCATACCAGGCTCTGGGGGCTTGTTTGAGACCATATAAGTCCTTGCTTAGTTTGAATACATGAGAGGGATACTTCAAATCTTCAAAACCTTTAGGCTGTTCTAGGTAAACTTTTTCATTTAAGTCTCCATTTAGGAAGGCTGACTTAACATCCATTTGATATACTTTGACTTGTTTGTGACAAGCAAAAGACAGAAGCATTCTAATGGATTCCATTTTAGCAACTAGAGCAAAAGTGTAATGCCCCGAATTTTCTAGATAAATTCTTCAATTTATTCAAATCCAAATACATCAGTATTCACCCAGGATCTCAAAAGAAAATACACTTTATTGATACAACATCAATTCCTCAATTTAAAAATAAATACAACATCTCTAAGATAAATTAAATAATTCCTCAACACCAACTCTTCCACCTAAGCCCGCTACTAGCAATCCAAATTCATCCTTGATACCTGAAATTGGGGGGGGGGGGGGGGTGAGACGGGGAAGTTTCAATAGGAAAAACCATAACAAGGATTTCAAGAAATTTCATGCAAAATTAGTTTTACAAAAATATACATATACATTTAAACAAAAATACGTATATGCAATTTAACTAAAAGAACAATCATAAAATATTTGAAACAAATCATCCAAGCCATTCAAGAAGGTATGATGATCCCTACACTGAAAAAGAGTAATTCCTCACTGGATCATCAAGTCCTCAAGCTCCGGCCTCCTCTGCAAACTCTCGACTTCTCTCTTTTCTCAAACTCTCTATGTTCTCAAAGTCTCTCTCTGTCTTCTCACGGCTCACTCTGCATCTTATCTCAACTCTCTCTAATTTTCTTTCTTTAGCTTACTAAAACTCACAAGACAGATACTATATATAAAGACAATATTGAACCGACACCATACAAAGAAAATCAAAATGCAAAATATCTCCTAGAGTCGGTCCACCACTCCTTTCCATCCTTATCTTTATATCCCTCTGATACACACAACCAAATACAGCCCCACTCTCAAAACGTCAAACAACCCACGTTAAAAGCGAACCAGAAAATCACCTAGTGGGTCCCACGAATTACCTTCTCTCTTACTTAGCTTAATCATTACATTCTTTTCATTTATATACATCACCCAATAGCCCATTACCAGCTCACGTACAAAGCCAAGCAACATACAATTTTGACCACAAAAAATCTTAGAGGGACTCAGAAAAAGCAATCATCAAAAATATTTCCTTTCTCATTTTTTCTCTTCCACCAGGTGTCCCCCTCTTCCATCATATGCCAAAATACTATATATATATATATATATATATATATATATATATATATATATATATATATAAAATATGCAACAACCAAATAAACCTATCTTTAATGCAAATGATACACAACAACTTACGTGAAACTTACCAAATAAAAGAAACAATCTTTCACTCAAAATAAATCTGATCCAATGCAAAATAATTGACGGAACCAAAATAAATTAGCTCTCTCAATTTAATAAAAATAAAATTGAACTCTAAAAATTCGGGTTGTCACAAAAAGTTTCAGCATAATCAATTCCAGCTTACTAAGCATAACCTTTACACACCAATCTTGCCTTATTTCTTATTACTGATCCCTTCTCATTCATCTTGTTTCTATAAATCCACTTTGAGCCTATCACATTCTTGTCTTCAGGTCTAGGAACGAGTGTCCAGGTCTCATTCTTGTGAATTTGATCAAGTTCCTCTTACATTGCAGCTAACCAGACTTTACTTTTCTAAGCTTCAAAATATGACTTTGGTTCAATGGATGATAGCATAGCAAAGTTACTGTATTCTTCACCATCTTCAGCTTCTAAATCATTTAGCTTCTTTTTATTTCTTGTTTGAACTCCAGCTTGAGGTGGACCAATGATGTTCTCAGCTTGAACCTACTTCTGCAGCACTGGATAGGTGATTTCGCTTTGGTTTTCAGGTTCAGGAACTGAGGTAATGGCTTCATTTGAACCAGATGTGTTGTTACTGTCTTCAATAAGTGCTGACTAAGGATTCTCATCAAATTTCACATTAATTGACTTAACCACCTTCGAAGACCTGAGATTGTAGCATCTATATAACTTATTTTTTGTAGAATTTCCCAAGAATATGCCTTCCATACCACAATTCATAAGGTGATTTGGTTGAATTAGGTCTAAGAAGAACCCTATTTATGATGTGCACAATAGTACTCACAACTTCAGCCCTTTTCAAGCAACGTTGTTCTCCCCATTTCTTGAACTGTCCTGTTCTTTCTCTCCACAACTCCATTTTTTGAGGTATAGCTATAGCAGAGAATTCCTTCTTAATCCCTTTGTCATCACAGGAATGTTTAAATTCTTTCATGGTGAAGTCTAAACCAAAGTCATACCTGAGTTTCTTCATAGTACAACTTCTTTCATTTTCAACAAGATTGACAAACTTAATGAAGTGTGCAATAGCTTCAGACTTTTTTTTCAAGAAGTAAACCCACACCATTCTACTAAAATGATCAATGAGCAGCATGAAATACTTACTACCACCAACACTTGTAGTTCTGGTAGGACCACAAAGATCCATATGTATTAGGCCAAGAGCCTTAGAGGTGTTGATTTCTTTAGATGGAAATAACACTTTGGTTTGCTTTCCTTGTTGACATGCTTTACAAATGTGATCATCTTTAAAACTGATGTCAGGCAGTCCTTTAACAGCTTTTAGCTTTAGAATCTTGGACATATTTCTTGAATGAAGATGACCTAACCTCTTGTGCCACAACTTTGTTTCATTATAGGTTGTTAAATTACATTGAGTGACCTTACTTTCTTCAGTGACTGTGTACATATTTCCTGAAGATCTATTAGCTAAGAACAAAACTTATTTTGATTCAAGATCAATCACATTGCATCTTTCTTTATTGAAACAGACTTCCTTCCCACTGTCACACAAATAACTAACACTGAGGAGATTATATCTGAGTCCTTCAACCAATAGAATTTCTTGAATTTCTAACAATTCTTCAGACTTACTCACAGTATCAATTCCAACAATCTTAGCTCTTTGATTATCTCCAAAGATAACATTTCCACCATCAAACTGCTTTAAAGAATTAAATTTGGAACCATCACCTGTCATGTGTCTTGAGTAGCCACTATCAACATACCATTTGTCCTGAGTATTACAAGCTTTAAAGGTTGTATACACAAAAAGACTCACAAAGTTTAGCTTTTTAGGAATCCACATCATTTTAGTCTTCACTAATGATCCTTTGTCCTTAACATACATTCTAGTTATCTTGAAGTTCCTTATAGCTGTGGTAACAAAGTCTCTCTTGTTAAAGCTTAGAGCACTACAAGTGTTATTAAGTAACTCACCCTTGAAACTCAGACGTTTTATGATAGGACACCTTGCATACACTTCACCAGTTGTGGCTTTGACAAATACAGAGTGAGTTTGATTGACCTTTGTGGCTAAATCACACACATAGCCAATTACAGTCTTCCAAATTTGCTTTGTGGATTACTTCCAGATCTCAGCCATCTTTAGGGATCTTTCTTTAAGAGTGAGAGACAGTTCTTCTTTACACTTCTTGGTAGACCACTGAGTGTTAACTTGAGATTTCAATAGGCTTTGAAAAATAAGAGAAATTAAACGCAACACTGAAATTTTAAGTTTAAAGTGTTTAGTGAGAATTTATTTGGTCTCTAACAATTCTGAATTGAGCCTTTTTATTAGGGACTTCTGTTGATTACACTTCACTATAAGCCTTTCATATTCTTCAAGAATTTTCTCAATCTTAGTGTCACTATCTTCTTTAACCTGAACTGGAGTTTGTGGTGCTTCGAGAATTGACATAAAGAGACCTTCATCTTCTTGTGTCTCCTCAGATTTATCTTCTTCAGGAGCTGAATCCCAATCTCAGATAAGCGTTTTTCTACCAAACCTTCCTTTGTAGTTACCTCCCTCATTCTTCTTCTGATTTTGCCCCTTTAAGTTCGAACAATTAGATACAACATGACCAAGTTTACCACAACCATAACAGGTTAAATTTTTCAGCTGATTCTTCTTTTTAAACCTGAACTTCCTGAATTTCTTAGCAAGGTAGGCTACCTCATCTTCTTTAAGATCATCTTCAGACTTTGTTTTAGTTTCTTCAACAACTTCCTTTGCTTTAAGAGTAGCTTCTCTTCTATAAATAGCTAGAACACTAATTCTCATTTCATAGGCAGTGAGAAAGGCCTGAAGCTCGTTAATCTTCACTTCAGAAAGATCTTTGTCTTTGAGAATTGTCACTTTAGGATTGAATCTAGAAGCGAGTGACCTTAGTACTTCTTACAAACATCAACATCCTTAATATCTTCACCAAGAGCTCTCATATTGTTGACAAGGTCATTGATCCTACACATGTACTCAGCAAAAGTTTCTTTTTCTTCCATCTTACAAACCTCATACTGAACTTTGAATAACTGTATCTTGTTCTCATTAATAACCTTATTTCCTTCATGAGCTACCTGAAAAGAATCCCACATTTCCTTAGCTGTTTTACAATTTTTAACTCTGGTAAACTTTTGTTGCTTCAAGGCACAAAACATAACATGTTTGGCCTTGCCATCATTAGCCTCAGCCAATTTAGCTTCAGTAGAGGGGTTATCAAGATTAAGAATCACAACACCATATACAGTAGCATGCCAAACATCATAGGACTCATACATGAAGAAGTCTTCCATTCTAGTTTTCCAAGAATCATAGTTTGAACCTTCAAACCCTGGAGATTTATTGATAACTTGACCATCATCCATTGTTGGGATCAACTGCAGGCTTATTAGAACCTTACAATGCAGACCAAAGCTCTAATACCAACTGTTGAACCAAGAGGGGCGGTGAATTAGTTAAAACTTTGCTTTTAAAAACTTTCTCACACACTAAGCAAGCATTCAAAGAACAGATAACACAAGATTTAAAAGGAAACCCTATTAACTAGGGAAAACCTTAGTTCTTGGCCTCAGCCAATAAGCAATCCACTAGTTGTATGTATCTTGTTACACACTCAGCTGTCTCACTCTCTGCACACACCCATGCACCAGAATAGACACTAGTTTTCACAACCAATACGCACACATTAGTACACCACAGTGCATCCGAGCACTCCCCCTATCCTAAGCAACCATGCTTGGACCAAATAAGCTCTCATAGCTCAATTAAGAATGGGGTAAGGATGTAAAGCCTCACTACCATTTACAATAAATGTCAACACACTAAGTACAATAAAATCTTTGCAACAATTAGAATAGGTTGGGCAACATAGAATTCCAAGTTATTACCTCAGAACTGCAATCCGCTGCACCTACGGTCTGAGGGGTAAAATAGGAAATTCCTTTTGAGATCAATTCACCAGCACCTCATACAGTCTTCTTTCGATGTTGTACTCATGTTCATAGCTTTGTGTAATCAAACACAGCATGAGTATATCACAAAGTTCAGTCAAAGTTCTTGGTTTAAAATATAACAACTTCAGCACAAAAAGCTTCGGCACAAGATAGCTTCACAGAATAGCCTCAGCATATATTAGCTTCAGTACAAAACAGCTTCGACACAAAATACTCAAAATCAAAGCATACCATATTTTTGTCACAGACTCAACTTTAACAATCTTGATTCATCAAAATATACTATCTAGTTACATAGATCATCGTGAAATAGCTAAGTATAGTCAAATAGCACTTGAATCTAAGATTTCTTCAGAAAAACAAGCTTAACTAGTGACCACACTATCCAAGTTCATTTTCAGCATATTCTTAACACAAACACAGTCTGAACAAGTGTAAAAAGATGAATTGTACCTGTATTAATCTTTAAAATCTACCACAACAGCTTAAAACACCAAGTCACTACTCAATGTAGCCCTTGCATCAGCAATTTTGACAGCAGCTTCATCTCAGCAATCAGTACACACCTCAGAGTGGATTCAATGAGTTTTTCTTGCATAGATCATCATCAAATAGCAGAGAAAAACTTGCTTGACATAGTATACTCGAGGGTTCTCAGCAGCAGCTCAATGTGCAATGTAAATTCAAGAGGCTTAAACCCTAAGGAGCCTTATAACAACATATTTATAGTGACACTAAATTACACAAGGCCTCACACACCACGGATACACACCTGTCACCTCTAGCCAATGATTGAGAGAGCATATTTCAGATATTTTTAGAACAATGGACCAATGCAGGCCTGCTACCTCAGCTAATTTTGTCACTATTCTACCAGCTACAGCAGGTTACAAGTTTGAGTACCGAATTCTATTTCTGTCCAAACTCAGCCTCTAAGGAATGAAATATTCTTGCATATACCAGCTCTCTAGGATCACTGAGACATGTTACATTCTTGAGCATAGCTGGAAAAGGCCATACTGCCCCCAAAACAGATTTAACTCTGCTCAGCACTATGACAGAGTTGAGACTGTATTCCTCGCAATGCAGGTTCAATTTCAGTGCAATGCAGGTACCTGAGCATACATATATATATATCTGAAATACAACTGAGAAGAGACCATAGTACCCCTGTAAGCACCTGTAGCTAAAACCAAAGTGTTGAACCTTCACTATCCGAGGCTAAAGTATTGTAATACTTTTTGACATTAAAAAGGCAAACATTCCTTAAGGTAACTTAGGACCAACACCATGTTAGGGTGGTAGATTCCTTATTAGTCAACATGACCGAGATCCTCAACATTATCATCCATTGATGTAATGGGGTGATCAAAAGTGGAAAGAATAGGACTAAAAGTACTTATACCCCTTGGATTACTAATAACGGACTCAAGATTTGGATTCAACGAAACGAGAGATGGATTAAGTGATCGTCTACCAAGCATGCACAAATAAGTAACAAGAAAACAAATATTAACAACTATCAACAATTCTTCTCCACAGCAAACAATCAATCATCAACAAGCCTCCATGTACATTGTTCCCATACTCCCACGCTTTGAATAATATAAGAAATAAAATTGGCCTTCACACGGGCCGATGATCATTTAAGTAAAAGAGTTTAAGATATGCTCACAAAGCTCCTTAAGCAACTTCAATTTCCAATGCTAGCCTCAAGCTCCAATGATTGCTTCAAGATCCAATCTTTACTTTCTTTAGCTCCAAGTACCTAATTGGTAAGTAACAAGCAAGAAAACAAAAATAAAAATAAAGACAAGGATCAAAAGAGTACTAATTCTTATTTAAATTCCAAATACGACGTTGACGAATCCCCGACAACGGCGTCAAAACTTGACGAGTGCTTGGTCGCTTCACTATTGTCAAATTAAGAGAGTGGTTCAAGAAGCCTTTAGTCAAATTTAAATTTATAAAACCACTACTATTACTACTTCTAATGTAGTATAGAGAGTGAGGATCATCCCAAGGGACCGCAAGCATATTTTGGAATTAAATTCGGATTAGTGGGTCAAATGATCAAAGAGAGGGTTAGTTGGTTCAATTAAACTACAATTAGATTGAAAACATGCAATGTGAACAAGCTAAATTATAATTAAGGTAAGAGAATATGAGAGAGGTCGTAGTGCATTAGAATTACTGCTAAACTCTTCTTCTAAATCACTAGTCTTTGACAAATTTGGGGGAATTAAATGTTGTAAACCAAGTGTGTGCTAACAATTGAAACAATGAGCATGAATGACTAAACAAGTATGAATTGTCTACCTAGGCTAGTATGTAGCACAACCCATCAAGTGAAGACATTAACCATTCAATAAACCCACAATTGTAGCACACAACAATCTAGAGAAATGTAAATCACGTGACAAAAAACATGAATCATCAAATACAAGCATGGATTGTCTACTTATCAAGGAATTTAAATGCCATAACACTACAATTATACTAATGACAAAAAAATTAAGCTATTTAACTAAGGTTGTAGAACAATCCATCAAGTATAAGTATAGCCCATCAAATCAATCACAAGTGTAACTGATGAGCACTGAATATATGCATATTTGAGCCCCTAAGTACGTATATGTTAGGGCCTAAAGTGATACTTCTATCCATTATTAGACTAATTTATGCTTAATGTGTGTTTCAGGTACTTTCCCAGATAAATGATTAAAAATGGGATTTTATGCTGATATTGAAGCTTACCGAGTCGTTGCCGGTCATTCAGAGCAAATCGAGAGTTAAATTGGTGAAGTTTGAAGCAATTGAAGCCTTAGAGCTCGAGCCAAAGTGTTGAGGTTCGAGCATTTCAACAAAGAAAAGAAGAAAAGTCAACAAAGCTAAATACTCGAGCATCAGTACCTTGATGCTCGAACCTTACTACAAAGATGCTCAAGCCTCACTGCAAGGGTGCTCGAGCCTTAACCAAAGGTGCTCGAGCATTACCCTGAAGCTCGAGCATGAGGTGCCAGAAATTAATGAGTTGATTTTGAATTGAAGGCTATGCTCCCAGGTCTCATGCATCACTTCTATGATTGAGCACTATCAACAGAGGATTGAGCATCATCACTTGATGCTCGAGCAATGAGCCCCAGATGCTCGAGCATGGTACCTAGCGATCGAGCCCAAGAAGCTTGGATCAAGCAATGTTAAAAGGAAAAGACGCTTCGAAAAAATAGTTGAAAAAAATTAGCTAAGTTTCAATATGATGATCAAGCACCATTCACTGATGCTCGAGCATCCACCTAGTATTGCTCGAGCATTGGTTCCTGAAGCTCGAGCATGAGTCCTAAAGCTCGAGCATCCATTCCCGAAGCTCGAGCATTGCATGACATGTCAGATTAAAAGCTACAGGATTGCTATTTTTTCAATCGTATCTCATCGCAGTTGGGCCAGAAGACTGAAAAGCCCACCAAATACATATGTTCTTCTATAAAAGAAGGCGTAATCCTTGATAGAAGAGGTCCAAAATTTTAATCTCTTTTACGTATTATTCAGAAGGCTGAAGGTGTGGTGGCTTTTAGGGTTTCTATAACCTTGAAAGTGCAAATCCTGAGAAGAGAGGTGTCGTCCGTGACGATGGAGATGAACTCAACACAGATGCTATGCAACCTTGTCATGAGTAGCTAATCCCTTTCTTAGGGCACTAATGTAACCCAATGTTATATTATGGTTTGATTGTTTTGACTCTGAGTTTATTTCAATATATTATGTTTTCTTGATTATATGACTATGAGCACTTAAGACAACTCAAGTGGTTTTTCATGCTTTAGTAGAATATAAATTGTTATTACCTTATCTTAGATATAATAATTTATGTTCTATTCTTAACCTAACTTGTTGTACGGTATCTGGCGAAGCTGTACCGGACACAAGGATAGAGGTCATATAATGGTGTTCCAATGAATTTTACAAACGAACGTTTTCATAATCTATACTTAGGAAAGGTGGTTCATTCACACAGTAGTTAGAATAGGTAAAGTAGGTAGGTGAATAGTCCACGCTAACCGCAGATAGGTTATAGTTAGCTAAATTTGTAAAACATCTTTCTTTAAACTCCAAACTGAACGAATGTTATTGAGTTCAGTTCATTTGAAAATAGAATTGGTTAAAATCCTAGAGTTGATTTAATTGGCCGTAATATAATGATTGTGGTGAAGTCAAAGCCTTAAGACTTTCCCTCTCTGATCGTTTAATTTAGTTTAATTTGTTTTAGTTGATTATTTTATAGTTTAAGTTTGTTAAATCATGACAACCAACAAACTTCCCAATTGAGTTACTTGTAAACTATAGAACAAAGTTCAAAACTAAACTACAAATCTATTCTCCCTGTGGGTTCGACATCCTCTTTGCATAAACTA